ATTCGGGACCTCGAAGACTCATAATAATTTGCATTATATATCGTATCATTTCGTTCGTTCTCTCGACTTCACTTTTTGTTTTCCTCTTTTATATCTGCCTAACAACTATCTCCTTCCTTTCTACACCTTTCCATATTTTCCATATCGTTTTCATCGTATCTGGTATTTCGTTTGAGTCGACGACGCAGACTATTTCGCGACTATATCATATTATACTCCTATAACGTATTTATTATATCGTATGTACGTGTAATATTTTTGTTGTTTTTCATTTTATCCATCGACAATTGTAAATTCGTTTCCTCGACATTAAACGACTTATCTATCGTCCTTTATTTTTTTTGTTTTTCTATTCCACGTAGGACGAACCTCCTCGCCCCGCGAACACCGTTATCACTACACACTTTCGCGGCGGATGTGACGATATCGTGCAACGCGTAAGTAATATTAGTGTCCACGTATGCATGTATGTATATCACGAACTTGCGTGTGTGCGTGCACTAATCACGTCTACGGGATACACACACGAACGGTCAAAAGTGCTTCGAACCCGTTTATAATCGTCGAATCGCTTCTACTTCGTTCGACACCCGCGTTCCCGAGGTCGTCAGTCGATTAAAATAATCGTCGACTTATCATTTTTCCCATCGACTATATAACACATATACCGTGAGTCCTAGGATACATGTATCATACGTGCACATTTTTCTCTGTAGCGAGTGTGCGTAACGGCGATGTACGAATATAATTGAGAAATCAAATGAAGAACAAAAACGTACACGATACTACATGTATGCGCGTAACATCGGATAGGTTACGCCAGAAAACGTAGGCTTTCTTATACATTTGTTTGTAATTCTTATTTCGTATTTCATGTGCGAAGGTACATAGTTCGTAAGACAGTCCCGTCGTCGTGGCATTCGATTCCCTTACGAACTATGCGCCATCGACGATTCCTTTTCGTTGCACGATATCTAAAGATGCAACATTTAATCGACAGATATATGCTTATACGTTCGTATTTAATATAAATATACTTGTTATGTATCATATAAGTATTATATATATGTTATATATAATATGCTATAGACGTCAAGTGCTTTCACAATGTGTTTCTCTCGAGTTTACTCTCATATAACTCTATTTAGTACACGTGTGTCGTTTCTTTTTTTTTTTTTATTCAACGGTGTACGAGTGCAAGGGGAAGGCACTTCCGCTGTTTTCCCGATTGGTGCCACACTGAAAACTTGACACTGCATCTTCCTTTCATCGATGATTGTCCATTGGTGATCGATTTTAATCAGACAAACTAGGTCAGTATAAAATGAAAATAGAAAAATTAATTTTTATATAAATCAGGATTTGTAATAATAGAAGTGAATTGACTGTTTTTGCTGGTTATATTAAATAACGATCTGAGCTAAAGAAACGTTGACTAAGATTATCTTAATGATCGAATTCGTTGCAGTTCCAGAATTTCGGTGGGCACCTAAGGAAAAGCCAGCCACCCTTTCGATAGTGTACGCACATGTGTGAAACAACGAGTTGAGGAACCCTAGACGATTTTTTCGATTTTGGTGTGCGTGACTCGGAAATCGGAAAAAATAACCCGTACAAGTTTTTCCGCAATCCTCCTATATGCGAGGCCTTTGGAATTTTCTCACGAACCGTGTATATGTATCATCTTGACACATCTCTCTCTACAGGCTGTATTCGAAGTTAGGAATCAAACGTTCGAAAAATATTATATTCATTTAAAAGCGAAGAATAAATCGTTTAAAGACCGTCGTCTTGGGAAAAATATTTTACCAAACGTTAATTGTCAATTTTTAAAATACGTAAAACATAAATGTATTATATCTAGATAAATAAAATGTTTTGATACACTTTCTATAATGTATAGAGTCACCGAATAAAAACCAGGAGAATTCGTTTTATCACTAAATTGACTAGAAAAACTATATTCAATCAAAATTCAATCCCTCCCTTCAAACACACTCTGTAACCATGTAAAACCTTTAAATGACAACGCGTACATGTCTCGTGTATGGATACGTACGGTGTTATACATTGGAAACGTACTATCACAACGAATCGTAATATTTTTCTTCGCTTTCGACTGAGAGAACACGAGGCAATCTACCCGCCAGCATTTCGCTTATCGAACAATACAAAATAATATACGTTTCGCTCTGTTACTATGGAAGACTGTGTTTCCTGAAGGATGCTGCACCAGGGACAAATGCCATGAAGATCGATCACGGGGATCTCTCTCGCCTACATTTTGTGCGCGTGTACTGTGTGTCAATGTGAAGTAATGCGTGTGTCGAGTGTCGCGATCGCAGCCGGAGAGATTGCCTCTTTGACTCTCGCAGACAAAACGAAAGGAACCGAGAGCACCCATTTGCGAGTGTCCCCTTTGAAAATCTTTATCTCATTATCCAATCTTTTTCGTTCTCTGACACTTCAGGTAAAGTAGGCATGATTCGTCTTTGTCCATTGGTGATCGATTTTAATCAGACAAACTAGGTCAGTATAAAATGAAAATAGAAAAATTAATTTTTATATAAATCAGGATTTGTAATAATAGAAGTGAATTGACTGTTTTTGCTGGTTATATTAAATAACGATCTGAGCTAAAGAAACGTTGACTAAGATTATCTTAATGATCGAATTCGTTGCAGTTCCAGAATTTCGGTGGGCACCTAAGGAAAAGCCAGCCACCCTTTCGATAGTGTACGCACATGTGTGAAACAACGAGTTGAGGAACCCTAGACGATTTTTTCGATTTTGGTGTGCGTGACTCGGAAATCGGAAAAAATAACCCGTACAAGTTTTTCCGCAATCCTCCTATATGCGAGGCCTTTGGAATTTTCTCACGAACCGTGTATATGTATCATCTTGACACATCTCTCTCTACAGGCTGTATTCGAAGTTAGGAATCAAACGTTCGAAAAATATTATATTCATTTAAAAGCGAAGAATAAATCGTTTAAAGACCGTCGTCTTGGGAAAAATATTTTACCAAACGTTAATTGTCAATTTTTAAAATACGTAAAACATAAATGTATTATATCTAGATAAATAAAATGTTTTGATACACTTTCTATAATGTATAGAGTCACCGAATAAAAACCAGGAGAATTCGTTGTATCACTAAATTGACTAGAAAAACTATATTCAATCAAAATTCAATCCCTCCCTTCAAACACACTCTGTAACCATGTAAAACCTTTAAATGACAACGCGTACATGTCTCGTGTATGGATACGTACGGTGTTATACATTGGAAACGTACTATCACAACGAATCGTAATATTTTTCTTCGCTTTCGACTGAGAGAACACGAGGCAATCTACCCGCCAGCATTTCGCTTATCGAACAATACAAAATAATATACGTTTCGCTCTGTTACTATGGAAGACTGTGTTTCCTGAAGGATGCTGCACCAGGGACAAATGCCATGAAGATCGATCACGGGGATCTCTCTCGCCTACATTTTGTGCGCGTGTACTGTGTGTCAATGTGAAGTAATGCGTGTGTCGAGTGTCGCGATCGCAGCCGGAGAGATTGCCTCTTTGACTCTCGCAGACAAAACGAAAGGAACCGAGAGCACCCATTTGCGAGTGTCCCCTTTGAAAATCTTTATCTCATTATCCAATCTTTTTCGTTCTCTGACACTTCAGGTAAAGTAGGCATGATTCGTCTTTTACTCGTTTTTCATTATTAATCGACTTGTGTCCAAATGAAATTAATCTCTCTTTGCAAAAATAGGATACTCTTCTTTCAAACAAATCGCTGTTGCCTAGTGTGGCTCTCTTCATTCAAACACTCTCCTCGATTCCTTTCTATGTATTAGTGAATGTATTTAATGTAAACATGTACATCTACATATACACACATACATACAATATAATTATCCTCGATACTCTCTTTTTTCATCTCTCTTTAGGCGTAATGAAAATTATTATTTACATGTGTGTGTATATATATATATAAATCTACAATATAGTTAAATATAAGTATGTATATGTATATATATATATAATTATTTTCTTGTCTCTTCGGTAGCTATCGTCATTTTCTATCATTATCGTTCACGATTAAAAGAACTTTCAAATCACTGGCGGACACACGTGTACAGATATACATACACCGCGCGAGAACAGAGAGAACCGTGCTTACTTTGCTCTCTAGCGAATGATTTTTCTTATTCCGCGTGTGCACTGTTTTAATTACTGTCCGATAAGAAATGCACAAATATATATATATCATGTATATATATATATATGTATATATTATATTTATATTACGAATACTAACTGCTTAGACACGTACGCGTGTATTATAATAGGTCTCTTTCTCCTCTCAATGAGTGTCCATGTGTGTTCTGTCGAACGTTTTGTTTTTGTGCGGTCGTGTACTATTAATGCGCATGTGAACTCGTTTTACATATGTACTTATATATTTCTCATGTTTTTTTTTTATAACTCCGAGACCGATATAATTCGTTTTTCTGTTCGCTAACACGACATTAGCCTCTTGTTTACCCCCTCGGTATTTCCTCTCGGGGATTCAGCCTTCTCTGTATATTTGCTGCTCCTTCTTCTATTTTCTATTCGTGTAAATGCATGTTTTTTGTTGTTTCTCATATTTTCGTACATATATATATAAATATATATATATGTATATATTTCTGTTTGTTTATCCTTTTAACAGTACCGTGCCATTTCATTGTTTGGCGCCCGGTTTGCGTCTCCTTTTTGTAATCGGCTTTTTCGTTTCTCTCCTCGGGAAAGTGCTTAAGCTCGTGGATTGCAATTGACGAGGTTCACTGTGTGCATTCGAAAAAAACTCCCCCGAATTGAATGCGTCCAAAGACTAAACGGCGTCGCCTCCGCCGTCTCGCACGCTGTTTTTACATACTAATAGATAAATATATATATTTATATAATATATTATGTATATATATTATATGTATATCATAGCACTAGATAAANTAATAATAATAATAATACGAATTACAAGGATCGCCCGAGCACGACGGCGTTCTCCGCTTCAATCTCATCGATGTGCAAGGTGTTTCTAGGAAACATACGTTACTATCATAATAGTTTCTTCGATTAATTTCTAAACGTTAGCTGGAAAGGGCGGAAGTCGGATCGGTAGAAATTGTTCAGTGACGACACTGGCGGATTTAACACCGGTCAACGTGATCGTTTCAAATTCGACACGTCCGATTGAATACAATAAAAACGCTGCAATTATTATATCAACGTAAACGCGATCACTTCGGAAATTGTTCAACAATTCGTCTGCGTTTTTCTTCCCTTCATCCTACTCATTGCCCCCTCTCCGTTTTTTAAAATATACCGTATGACAAAGATAATTATATCTGAGAAACGATAAACGACGACGCAGCGAATAAAATCGACCGACGTGCCGATCGCGCGGTATTACATACGTATTCATGTTGAGAAATTAATCTAATAACGACTGACAAATGGACTCCAACGGCTGACTAAGAGTAATATGCAACGATCATAATTAATATATATTCTACGACTTAAAAAGGCAAGTTGTGTAAAGTGACTTAGGCCGAGCATCGTTTTCGTCCATCTTGGCATAGAAAATAAAAAATATATAGATTATATATAATATAATGTAATATATATATATATATATGTATATGCGTGTAATATAGAATAAACATTGATATAGAGTTTATAATAATAAACCGATGAAGGAACGACTTTTAGTTTTTACTAACAAACGAAATAATATTCGAAACAAAACGGAAACAAATAGATCGTATCGTCGCCTGGCGACGAGCTCCACGATATACATAGACGATTTAACAAATTTTATTATAAATTTCTTTTCTCTTAAACCACTTCGCCTACCTACTACGTAAAATGAACCGTCACGACGGCAAATAATTAAGTTATTTCAAAAGTTATAATTAAAAAAACGTTATGCACTAAAAGGAGAATCTATTTTTAAAAGGTACGCTGACGCGTCATTAAAAATAAAACAAATAAAGATAACATTCATAAACGAGGACGAACGAAGAGGAAAGAATATACACGAATGAACAACTGGCAAGTCTTTGCTTTATAAGAAAGAAAAAGAAGAAGACGAGAAAAGGGGAGACAAAACGAGCCGAAACGAACGCCAGGCGTGGGTCGTTTCGTTTATTTTTCGTATCGTTTTGTTAATTATATGATTCGGTTTAGGACGAAAGGGGAACGAAATTAACTGAGAAATCTGCAAAAGTCTTCGCGTCGTTATTTTCTATTTGTCACGAGTAAGCATCACGATTCGAAACGCTCCAAGTGGAATCGGGTCAATAAGGCACTGTTCACCGACAATGTCTGACTAGAAAACGAATCTATTTTCGGAACTCTTGTTTTGTTTGTCTGTTTGTCTGTTTGTCTGTTTGCGTTTCTCATCCCTTATTTCGACGTTTCATTCCTCGTTTCGCATTCGCTCCTCGAATGTTCCCCCGTTCGCGTACAGGAACGTGCACGTTTATTGTTCTCTTACGTATTCAATTCCTTAGATTCTAATCATACGTGTATATAAGTATATTCATCTAATCGGTTTAATTCTCTCGCTAAATCAGAAAATAGGTCATCTAATATTCAATATCCAAGTCTGTGCTCACTCTACGAGACTCTAAGTCGAACGAATGACAAACAAACGCGTGGAAATACTCAACTCCCCCCTCGATCGCGGTACGCGGATGAGAGGACGCGAAATGACGTGCAGCGTTCTCGGCCGAAGGAGAGAACGCAGAGGGCCCAGAAGAAGGAACCAGAACGCTCGGAAACAGAAAAGAGGGACACGGACGTGTCCCCCGTTCGCAGTCGATCGGTGGGGTGACCCGCTTACGAAGTCTTCATCTTTTTGTACGGCTGCATGATCACGCCGGAACTTACCGGGATGGCGACTTGCGGCTGGGCCGCGATCGTCGCCGGGTTTGGAATCTGCGATATTTGCGGGACGCCCGATACGCCAGCGGCCGCGACCGCGGGCACACCCGGTAGAACCGTGTACGGATTCTGTACGTACGGGTTGCCCTGGACCGCACTAGGAACGGCTGGTATCGAGGCTTGAACGTAAGGATTCGGTAGGATCTGTTGTCTCATCAGCGAATAAGGATTGATGGGGGTACCGGCCGGCGGTCTTGAGTAGGCTAGAATGCCGGCGGATAGGGGAGAAGTTAGGGCGCCAGGAATCCCGGTCAGGTTCGGAATCATTGGTCTGGGTGTCGTTGCAGTCGCTTGCAACCCGGCGACCGCCTGACTCCCGGCTGCCGCTGGATTCACCAGCGCCTGTTTGTTTAACGCGACGCCCGTGTAATTCAACGCAGTCAGCTGATTGAGACTGTACGACTGCGAGGCCTGCGAGAGCTTGAGGGCCTTCGCGTAATTCTTCTGGGCAACCTCTTTCGCGAGGGCGGCCGGGTCGAGCTGACCGGGTAACCCGCCGAGGCTGTTCAGCATGTTAAGATTGACCATGTTCGAGGCGTGGTAGTTCGATACCATGTTCGAGACCGACTGGACGTTCGTCATGGAAGCCATCGAGGGCATGCTGACCATGCCTGGCATCGAGGTCATCCCGGCGACCGAGGTCAACGGGCTCATCACTGGCTGCACGTTGGCGACTGACATCGCCAATTGATTTTGCAACTGTTGCTGATGCTGCTGTTGCTGTTGCAACTGGTGTTGCTGTTGCAGCTGATGTTGCTGCGCTTGCTGTTGCGCTTGATGCTGCGCTTGTTGCTGCGCTTGCTGCTGCGCTTGTTGTTGCGCTTGCTGCTGCGCTTGCTGCTGCTGTTGTTGTTGCTGCTGCTGCTGCTGCTGCTGTTGTTGCTGTTGCGAAATCGTCGAGGGACTAGCGTGATTCAATTCGGGGGAGTTATGCGCGTTCTCGGCATCGTGATTCTGCGTCGCATTCGGCTGCTTGTTATTGCCGTTACTATTGTTACTGTTATTATCGGTGGTTGGAGGTGGTGGCGGTGGGTTGTTGCAGGGATCCATCAGCACGCCATTGTTGGCGTCGGCGCAGTTATTGACTGTGACGCCGCCGGTTCCCTGGGAGGAGGAAGAGGACTGAACCACCACCGCGTGGTGGTTGCTTTGCACGTTCGAGGGTTGCACGACCGATTGGTTAGAGGTTTGGGTGGGTAGGGGTGGTGTTCCAGTGTACTCACATGACACAGGCACGAACGGCTGCTGCAGCTGCATTAACTGTTGATAGGTCGTCGCGCCGGTAGGCTGATAGACCGGCATGCCGGACTTGTCGCCCGCCGGTCGTTTATACGGAACCATTCCTGGGAAGGCCTGGAAAACAGAACCCCGGGAAATATGTACGATTAGTAACGAGGCATTGACTCGGTTTCGTTTGTTCGTAGGGTCGCGACCGAGAGCTGCTCGGTAAAATGAAACGCGAGATGAGTCTCAATTCTAGTATTACGAAGGTAAATATTAGGTGTAGAAATTATTTCGGTGTTCTCATGTTATATTATAACTGTGAGTGTGAATAATCACCCGATAGTTAACATTTAAGTACCGAGACTTACAGTTGTGAACCACTTTTACATCTACTTGAAACAAGAACTGAGAGCAAAGACTGGACAGAGACTGGACTTTATACATAAAATCATAACGTGAGACAAGAAGTGGATATTACAACCCTGAGTGAAGAAAATCGTGGGTTCACCTTGGAGAACCGTCGACATTCACTGGAAAACCGAATATCCACGCTAAGAAGGTTTTACTGTGCATATGATAGAATGTGAAGGAACTAGTCTACTTCAACCTGGTCAGACTCAATACAGATCGTTACCAACAGCAACTGATTCGCGTGAGTGATGAACTCGGAAGAAAAAGACCGTTTACAGGTAACGGAACGCGGCACGTTATCGTGCAACAAGATAACGTCACACGTTGCAAAAGCAACAAAGGATGTCATTTGTTATTTGGGTTAGAAAATTCTCCCACGTGCGGCATACTCTCTTGACTTGGCCCCATCGGATTTTCATTTACTCCGATCACTCATTTAACAGATACGAATTTTCAAACGTTAAAAAAGTATTGAACAATTCATTGCATTGAACGTGGTATCTATCTTGCGTCAAGGCATTCGACAGTTGCTTAAAAGATGGATTAAAGTGATAGATAATAGTGAAGACTATTTCGAAGAGTAACAGAAATGTATAATTAATTTTACAAATGAATACTAGATTTGTTTTAAAAAGCAACCGAATTAATTTCTACACCTGATAAATTTATTGCTTAAACGTTTTAAGGGATAACGAGGTGATTCTGTATGAATAAACTTTGTACAACGAAGAACGAAAGATTCGAGCTAGTTTTCCCGAGTAATCTCGATTGAATGTGCCTTAATAACGAATTAGTGTTAATATCTCCGATCCGATTTTATATAGTCTCGTTGCAAGAAATACTTAGGCATGAAACAGTGAAATAATGCAGGCATCAGAAACCCATTCGTTTAGAACTGCAATTCTATTTATATTGCGAAACCAAGTTGAAACGCGAAAGTCTCGTGGAAAGCGATTGCTTTGGTCCGATTGGTTGAACACAAACCGATATGAGCGCGCAAAACCGATTGCTGAACGGAAACTATAGCGTGGATTCAAATATTAATTTTAGTTAATCACTTCCATTACGTTTTGTACGAATCGAATGGTTAGATTCAGCACTTACAAAGTTCTCGTAGTAGAACGATCCGACAGACTTCATGTCCATCTGCAACAAAGACAGGATCGGTTTCAACTAATTTAGAGGAGAAGGTAACATGCGAGTCGAGTCTATATAATTAGATTCTCGGAGGAATGTATGAGATGAGAAACGGGAACTGGGGAATCGGTTGTTTTCAGACAATGACAATCGGCTAAGTCGATCGTCGGGTGTGTAGTTTACATAACACGACGACAGGTAGGTAGTGGTAGTAACAGTACTAACAGTATCATTAATTAGTAATTAGTAATAAACAGTAGTGGTAGTAATGTGTAAAAGTTGTGCCGATGACGCAGCTTGCGGCGACGTTCCCAAATGACGACGTTCGTTGTTGGATAACTGTAAAATTCTCGTTTCTTTCTCTTTATTTTTTGGCTCATTCGCTCGGCTGTTTCGTCGTACTTTATTCCTTTCATCGTAAGAAGTACTCATTTCTCTTTGCTTTCGTGTTGTCTTTATACGATATCGATCAACCATCAGTCACTATAATACGTATTATCAAACACGAGAAAGGAAGGAGTCGTTGGTCGGAAAGAACACAGAAAAACCAGCCATCAGTCGCTATATATATGGAGCACCATATCATGGGGGCCAATTAAAGAAAGAATTGTTGATCCTGGTTCGGTTTAGAATTAAAATTGGTCCATTGACAATAACGCTGAACCGTATGCTATTCTCCTATTTAAACGAAGCCTTGGAATAACAAAGAGAGAGACAGACAGAGGGAAATAGAGAAGCAGAGAAGTAGAAGATCTTTTAATGAAAGAGAAAGAAAAGAATAAGAATCGTCAGGAATGGCATGGACCGTTCGATGGGAAGATCGTTGGCGGAAAAGTAAAAACAGATGGCACGTGTTTCCGAGGGCGCAACGAGAAAAAGGCGGAAGTCGAAACGGATTCGCGAAAGCGGAGAGCAGATACAGTCACGATTTATACAACGATTAATTGTCATTCAATAATTGACGACGGACGCGGACAGAGGAAGCGAAACGAAAAAATAATATATGTACAGATAGATGGTGTCTCGCACTCTGTTCACAAGTATCAAAAGATTAATTGAAAGTAGAGAAAGATTGGAAAAAAAGCTGCACAGTTTCGGATGCGAAAGCTGAAAAGCTGGTAAAGTCTTTGTCGTTGTCGCCGAGATAGAGCGGGGGAACGATGTGAATCAAACTGTTGTTTGGTTGCACGAGTAGGCACAAGGTACGTATTGTAATGTGTAATATCGATGCGACAAGATATTAAAAGTGCTCACAAAACAAGGGAGCGCAGTGTAATCAACCAGAATAGAAATGCAACTTTTGGCGTGTAAACAATATGTAGCGGGACGATCTCACTTTCTTTATTTCCTTTTACCAGTTACGAGTTACAAGGTAGTGTCGGGAATCGTGTCGCAAGCTTAAATACACGCCCGTTTTGCCTCGACGTTTCTTCGTAAAGAAAAGTGGGAGACAAAGATGGAAATAAAAACTCGACTCGAGAATGGAAATTAGATGCATGGAAAACCGAAAACGCTGGTGCGTAGGAAAAAAAAAATAGATACATAGAAAAGGAAACGGAGTAAGAAATAGCGTAGAAAGTTAGCCAGTGTATAAGCAATCTACTGTGCTCTTAGCAATTTCAACAGGAATGACTCTCAGAAAAGTAATAATAAAAAAAAAAGATACAAACAAGATATAGAACGTCTAATAAAGAAATGTATACGTTCCAAGAACAAGAAAAGGAGACAATCGAAAAAGAATAGAAAATAAAAGTGTCCCGACAAAAAGTGATGGAAAAAATATAATTTCGCGTCACTCAGTGACCGTTGACTCTCAATGGAAAAAAGATAAAACTTTCTCGGGTCATCGTTCAGAGCATCGAGGGGATGACACTTGATACCATCACCTCGGTAGTCGCTTTAAGCACAACATGCATCATCGGCGCAAGCTCAGAATTTACACAGATCTAACACTCCGTAAACACAGTACCAACAGCGTTTTTTTCTCATACGCATTTATATATCACCGTTTTCTCGGCAAGTCGTATAATACTTTCTCTAGACAATTTACAATCGATCACTTCGTATCAATTAACGTACAATGGTCTCGGTTCACTGTACCCGCAACGCAGGTCCTGCCGGTACGGAGATTAGAATTTCATTATTTTTTTTTTCCCGAATTTCTCGTTACGGTGTTTCGCTGCGAGACACGCGCGCATCTTCGATTTCCTCTAAATTAACCGACTCATCGTGGATGTATTCGCAACGGGAAATGATATTCTCACGGTTGGACGGGGGTTCAAATGGGAAACGATGGCCGACGATCCGGTTTAAATTCGAATTTCGAGCTGGCATGCCGGAAGGGGAAATGCGCGCGTGACTCGAGGCTGCGAAGCGTAGCCATCGATCGGAACGCAATCGAGGATTGAGATCCGTTTCGTCGATCGCGGATCCTCTCTCGATTGTTCGAGGAGATTTCGCCAAAAAGGGAATGAGTTTACATATAAATCGATCATGTACGTTGTCAACGACCACGAACCTTTCCCGTGCAATTTTCTTTACGCTTAGATGCATTCTCACGAAGCGAGAAATATTTGCTAATTAAAACTTTCGCTTCTCGTCTCGCTATTTTCCAAACGCCAGTCTGTCCTCTGCTTTTTATTATACACGGTCGATTCGTGGCTGATGACCGAGAAACAAATAACGAAGCGATCTATAAATACATTACGAGGCGTAAGCTCTGGTATACGAACAACATTGCAACGAACGACAGAGTACGAAGCGAAATTAAACGTGGGAAGTAAATAAACGGTCCGAAACCAACAACGAGAACGGAAGAATAGAGACAGATAGCGGAAGAGATACAGAGTTAGATAGTAGAAGAGAGACAGAGATAAATAGCGTGAGATACAGAGAGAGGCTCTGAAAATTTCGTTTCGCGAGTACTGTTTCGTGAAGAGAGTGTATCGTATGCATTTAACGCGGTTAATTGCTGTGATAAATCGCGGGTCGGTCGAAAGAATCGACGGGTAGAAAAAGGAAATGAAAATAAACAACGGACGTTATGAAATAGTTACGAAAGCTCATAAAATATCATTTCGGGTGATCGCGGATTTCTCCATAAAAAAAAAACCTACGCGTATGCTTCCCGTGAGATTGGACAGAATCGAACGTGTTAGAAATAAACAAGATGAAAGGAAAGAAATAAAGAGAAAGGAGCTAGAGCTCTAAGCACGCTCGGCAGTGTATTCACAATCGCAATGAACTATACTTCCGTAACTTAAAGATATGAAACTACAAGGAATTTCCGGAAAGTGGCCCGAACATTCGTGATTTTGTTCCCCGCGTGCTTCCCTCTTCAGATCGCGCGGATCTGGAAGCTGAACAAGCAGAAATCATGATCTACTTAGTTACGTCCTCGACACTTAAGGCAGGAATTTAATAGCATGTGTTATGTTCTTCTTCGTTTCTTTCTTTGGCTGTGATATGACGATTTTCTACAATTCTTTTATTTCAATGTTAAGAAGATATACTGCTCAAAATTGCCAATTATTTCTTATTGCCCCTTTTGATATTTCTAAATAATGTAAGCATTATAAATATTTTAAGTTTCTTTCTCGTGCAATTGTTAATTTATAGGTTCAATGAGCAAGTTTTAGTTTGACTGGATGTTTCAGACGAACCATTCTGATTTAGTGATTGCAATGATACATTCAGTAAGACATCCACATGTAGCGCAATATAAAAAGTAGTGAGCGTGTTCAGCAGACATATAGAAAAAGCTATGTCTAGTTTTGGTAGAGTACGAACCTACGGTTTATGAAGAGCTTGAGAGAATTATTGCATGATATTAAAAGAAATCGTTACGATATTTCAAGTTTTTTAAAACCCTTAGTACTGTTTTGAGCAGTATACGAAGTGAATCACTATAAAAAAGCACCATAAATAACTTCGAACAATTAACTCTTACACTCTGATATCTTTTAGGTTTTAATATTATTGTTTAAGTTTAAGAGAATTATTTAATAGATGAAATTCCACTTCTTGGAAATATTCAACATCACTTAAATCTAGATTATCTAAACTAATCTAAATATCCTGTAATACCCTTTTCTGTACTTATACAATGTAAAAATAAAAAACTACAATTGCTTTCAAGTATTTATCGAATTAGTGTTACTAGAAAAAAAAATATATATATATATAAACATTCAAGATATGAAGCAAGTTTCTTGATCTAAAGCAGCATTAACAGAAATTAAACATTGATTTTTTAAAGCAAAAAGAAAAGGTCGTATCTATGCTCGAATTATAAACAAATTTCGTTATCAATTTTTATACAAAATAAAAACTGAATGTATTTAAGGTGCTAGTCCACAGTTACTCACCTTTCGCCATACAGAAGTCTAAAATGACACTACCTATCTTTGAAGAATAAGAGTAAAAAAAAAGAAGAGTAGAAACAAAACTTGTTCGAGCCAATTTCACGGAATTCAGCTACGAAAAAAAGGAAAGTGTACTCCATGCATAAGCCGTGGTACCATTAGCAGATCATCATTGGAGTCGCGCATCCGCTTCTTGCCGAGTTCGATGCTTGCCATACTGGCGCTCTGAAGTCCTCCGGGAACCGCAGTTGCCGGCACTCCTGATACGCTGCCAGCCAACGCGCTCATCCCCGCCATGTTCGTGGGCATAGTAGCCGTCTGCTTTTGCATTTTTTTTTTTCGTTTGTTCCATTCGTTCAGTGACATTTTTCATTCGTATTTTTTTTTTTTTTTTTGGTAATACGATACAATCGATCGTTCAAATTTCCCAATTGATTCATCATTTTTTTTCATTTCAGATTTTGCAATTTCGGTCGCAATGTGCACGTAGAGATATTCGTTCGTTAAAGTCAATTACCAATAGAAAACGTTTCAATAAATAGGTCATCGACATAATCGCACGTAATCGACGATATCATCGTCCATCGCCATTCGTGTTTTTCGTCGATTTTATCGGTTCCATTCGGCGTTTTGTCGTGTACATGTCACGTGTACGACCGCAGTTAAAGGTGTAGCATTTCCCGTTCGGAGGCACGCATTGTCAGGTGTTTCCGGTGGGCGCAGCACAGGATTTTCAGTCGGCATAATTTCGCAGGCGTTAATTTGGCGGGTAGCGAAGCGCACGAAGGTTTTTTTTGTCAGCAAGCATGAAGAAGCATCATCAGGCGGAAGAGGGCAAGATAAAAATCAAAAAAAGAAAAACAGACCAGTTGAGACTAAAGGTAAGAAATGACAGAATCGCGTATACATAATAATATACATATAAATCTCCAAGTTGAGTCTTTTTATATAGTACATCAAAAATATTGCCATATTATGTGCTTATATATGCGACTTAACACGCAAGATGGACGTACTCTAGGTTCCTCTTTTCACCTGGGTACTGCGTGATTCCACATACACGTATGCGTGTTCTATGTGCGCGGTGTGTGCACGCGGAACTGGTGTTTTGCGGCGCGAAAAACGACTCGCAGATTAATCACGCATACTGCAGACGCGACACGGCTCTACGGTTCCCCTTACGAACACATGTCGTAATTTGCTCCTTTTTGGCCGCGCCTGCTCGATTGGTCATTCTTTCTCGCGGTCTCGTTTTACAAAAACGCAGAACGGAACCGTGTCACGTCGGCCACCACGTGAGAAGCTCCGTTTTTTAATCCAACAAACGCGGCGATCAACAAGCTGTAAATGTACAGAATTATGGTACATAGAGAATTTGTCAAACGAAAGAAAAATCTTAGTGCGTAGCTGCAATTGTCCGGTGTTCAGCTGGAAGGTAACGAAAGAAACAGAAAGGTGTAGTAGTGTAATTCTAGAAACGCAGTGAACGTGTACAAAGAAAATGACAACTGCGTTGACATTGATATTAAACAGACGATTATACGATCATAGCGATGATAGATATGATAGAGCTGTTTAAAACAAAAATGTCTCGGTTGTCCGCAGCGATGCATGGCCCGGCGTGACGTGAAGAGAAATTGTTTCTGGAAATTGAAAATAAAATATCCGAGAACGGGAATCGGTAGAGGATGAAAACAAGTTAAAGGAAGATAACCTGCGAAGCAATACGAAAGAATATAACCGAAGATATCCATTTGATTGTCCATCGGCTGCCATTTCTGACTCTGGCAACACCTGCAAATAATCGTCCGGCTATCTGTCGAAATTTATTAGTTTCGCCACACGATATCCTCTCGTTTCATTCTCCACTCTCCCGTGCGTCGTCCACCGTTTTTCGTTCGAACGTCCGAAGGCTCGAGCAGAACTTTCATAGAGCAAATAAGAATCACAGGTTCGACAGATAAATCGAGAAGTGAGGACGGATGAAACGAGAAGTCGAGAGAAAATAAGTGAAAAGGCGTCGCTCTCGATATCGCGTTAATCAGCGGCCTGAAAATTGAACGAAAATTCATAAACGATTAATTGAATCTTAAATATGTGTCCGCATTGTCCGGCTGCGACCTCCAGTCTCGCCGGCGCCTATTAACGTCAATTCCTCGAGGACGTCGTTTTCGCAAATGCTGCACACCGAGCATTGTATTGGCGAGTGTACGTGTGACGTGTGTGTTCCATGTGTGTAACAGATCTCGTGTAACATTTTGTATAATAAGAGTTCGAAACAGCTGGATATAAGGTGTCTTACTATCGGTTGGTCCATCGAATTTTCTACCTGACGGCTTCAACGGCACCGATCCGTGCTCACTTTTCTGTAGGTATCAATGGGGACATAACTTTTTCTCGTGTTGTACAAAGTGGACAAACATTCAGATGATCGTGGCGTAGCAATTCCGAAGAGTGCATTTCGTTGCATTAATTCGATTAGACGTGCGGCCAGGCCACCCGATTCCCGATTGTATAAGCGACGGGGTCGAGGTTAATTGATCTAATGGAACATCGGCCCGAGCGCAGAGCAGGGTGAATGAATCGAACGAACAGTACGAAACGGACGCCTGTATCAAAGAATGCCGTGATTAATTCGGTACGTTCCAAATCCGTTTCATACCGCTGAAAATGCAACTGATTCGTTTTAAGCTATGAATACACGCTAAACCTTCTACAGCGAATGGTTCTGCTAAGTACATTTAATTCGTTCTATCGATCGATTCCGGCTAATTTTGTGTTTCACATATTTTACGTACATGTATTGCTAATTTTATCATTTGTAATAACGTCAGTACTGCAGTTAGTTTCATGTCACGGCACACGTGAAAGACGAAATTGAAATATGATATAGTAGAATTTGCAAAGTGTACGTTTGTGACCCTTTAAACTTTGATTATTAAAATGGCACGCGTTTACACGGTGTTCGTGACAAATTTTCGGGGGAAGGGGGTTGGAGGTTACCCCGTTGGTACGCGGTATGCACCCTTGGGAAATTGAAAACCACTTTTAGAGAATGAGACTTCCCTGCCAACAAGCTGGTCTGCCGCAATCATCCATGTGAGACTTTTCTTCCATTGTATCCGGACGTGGCTGCAGATCTTCCGCGCGACGTTGCTGAAAATGTCTTTCTCGAATTCTTTCGCATTTTTTTCCTCTCTCTTTTCTCTCTCTACCGTTTCTTTTCTCTTGGCCTTTTTTCCTTTCAATTCCGTTCTCTTTTGTTTTCACCACTTCCTTCCGACATTTTCCTCTCCTCGTTCGCTCTTAGTTTTTTAATGCACTTTTTTTTTCCTCCATCCACCGGACAATGGACAATTTCGATCCCCCGAAGACAAGTTTCACAAACGGTCGAGAAGCGCACAATATTCTTTCTCTCCACCGTCGCCTTTCAAGAAACGTACAAGTCGGCTGCCTTCAATTCGCCTGCTCTCGCTCAAACGGTACTTCTGTTCCACGTTTCTTTCCGACCGATCCATCCCTCGTTCGTCAATCATCCCTCGACTCATTCCACGATACATACCGATCGAATCTTTCAAATTCCACGATTAGCCGAATTGGGTAATTAATGATCAAATTTGTTTCGTTACGTTTACGTTTTGCTGCGTTTCTCACTAAAAAAAAAACTGTTACAAATAACAGTCGAAGAATAATTGCGACAATCTGTTATTATAGAGCAACCCGGCGACATGTTTTTCTAACGGTAACTCGTTAGATTGGACGAGCACAAATCTGGACAATGACGAAGCGTCGCGAGAACGCGTGCAAACGTGGACGAGGACTGGGAAGATCTGCGAAAGAAGTTCCCCTTCCTCCGTCGCACTATCACCCGACAAACCCATCATTTGTCTCCAGGACTCTGGAACCGTGTTACGAACGCAATTCTCTATTACTTTCCTTTAGCTTTACTTTCGCATTTCTTTTTTAAACGATACTTTTGTTTTTATTTTTCAGGCTCGACAACTCTCAGTGTAGCGTTTTTGTGTGGGGCAGCAAAACAGCAGCGAGGGTTGGTAGCCGGGGTTCGTGCAGCACAGCTTGTCAGCAGAGTGGTGTACGTGTCATTCGTAAAAGACATGTCACTTTTAACTACTACTTTCTTATTTACAAAATCGTGATACAGCTCCATTTCGATGTACACGAGATCATTACTTGTCGTCGCTAACTTCTTGAATTCATAAAACAAAAAATGTATGAAACGATCATGAAGACGAAACGAGTAAAATTGACCGAAATGGAGCGGTCACATGTGGCTGCGGGAACATCTTGTATATTTAATATACGACCTAGGTACCGAAACAGGTGATTGGTGTATTGCAACTAGTTCTTTGCACCTGGATTGCTGCGATAGGCTGCTAGAAAGAGAGAAATAGAACAGTGGTGTTTTTGGTGATGTTAACAGAGAATTCTGCCTCGTGTACTACTCACTACACGCTACGAGGAAACGGCTCGAATATCATACAGGGTATAATGTAGAAAACTTGGACAAACACAAAAGCGACAAACAATAGGAACGAATCAGGACCGTACCGATCGATGGGACGTAGAGTGAAAAATAGACGTGAAAAAACAAGATGAGATTAAAAAAAAATGTATAAAATAAAGATAAAAGGAGATCTGATCGCAGTGGGTGTCGGACTGCGCCGTGAACGAGTGAATTGGATATAAAAAAAAAAGCAATAGAAATGGAATATCAATTAGGAGTGACTGGGGTGAAAGAAACTAATATAATAGATATTTTATGGATAACCGTATCGAGCCCGACACGCGCGCGTTTTCATTCCTCTTCTTTAACGTTATTCATTACCGATGGATTGCGTTACGAGTCGATACGAGGCGTGTTTAATTAACGCGGCAACGCCACGTTCGGGGTGACAATGGAGCTGTTTATCTGGCGCCGCACCGTAAAACCCGGTTTATTCACGCTCGGCGACAGTACCCGTTACGGTTATCGCGTGATTCGAGCACTGCGCAACTATTGGCCAATTTTACTTTGTGGTTCGGTAACCTGTCTCACGTGCGACAGTGCTATATATATACATTGAGAGACGTTCGGTACATATGCACATACTTATGTATCATATATACATACTGTATATAAAAGATGGCAGGTAAATAGAGAGATAGAGAGTTCGATACGTGTGTAATAGCGTATATATAATAAACGGAGTACGTAAGGACTACTGCGTTCGAGGGGGAAGCCCGATGTATATGTATATTCGACGTAGATTGGCGAAAAGCAGCGCAGCAACGAAAGCTCCTTTTGACGCAAACCCAGGAAACTGAAAGGGGTGATAGTATATGTGAAAGATCGTAGACAGACAGTAGATAGAAACAGAAGAAAGGTGTGTATATGTATCATCGTAAACGAAACGGAGATTGATTAAAGGGGTAAAAGGAATCGAGAAAAGAAGGAGGAACTCGGAGGTGTGTCACATATGTGCGGTCAAATAGGATATGCGTGCACTTCGAGTCTTGTTCTTCAAGACCGACTATCGTTTACTTCGCGAGACGTTCAATGCAACGTCGAACGTCAACCGACCATATGGTGAAACGAACGGAAAGAATTTTTTTAATATCCGTACGAAACTTTCCTGTCGCGTGAATTTTGACATCGAGCTCGCATGCAAATTTGTTCCCGTGACGTATTCCCACCGTAGGCGTGCCAATTAAAGCCACGTGACGTAATGTGACACATTTAACGGGCAGACTTCAACCACTATCGCATCTCTTTCCGTTAAAGCTCAGCCCAGATTCAAACAGAGACAACAGCACCGGCTGATATAACCAGTTCCCAGCGACGACGATGAAGAGTACAAAATAATGTCAAAAAAAAACAAATGAATGAATGACACGTGTATAAAGACATCCGCACATGAAGCACACGCCACATGGAACTAGAAAGAAAGAGACATAGAGGCTAGAAGAAAGTCAGAGGGTGAAGAGAGAAGGTAAATAGGTACGCAGGCAAGGGAAACCGGTCGATCCATCAACTCTTAATTCGCATATCGCAATAGATATATGTCCAAAAAATATCATATATAAAATGAAATCTGTTCTTGTTTGGATCGATAATATTTACAATACCAAAATTAATAATTAGAATATATATTTGAATAAAGAGAAATATAATAGCAATTAATAGATTAAGACTTTCATTATTTTTCAAATAGTGACGAGTTAATGGATTGAACAGGAGAGAAAATGCAGTCGCGGCGATGCACACGCGAACAAATCTCGCATCAAAGAGTCTTGATCGCGATTCCTCGCTACCACGACCATCTTCCCCGTGATTCTTTATCATCCTACTCATCTGGTTCGCGTTTGTCGGACTTGTTCCTTGGGTAACGGGAACGGCGACCTTCATCGCGTGGCCATCGCTGCGAATTCGTACGGGAAGCGGACCGCGAGGACAAAGATTCAAAGGCGAAGCCGGCAAACTGGGAAGACTTATCGGATATTGAAGTGAAATGGTTTCCTCTCGGCAAGGTAAGAGACAAAAAGGAAAGGAAAAGAAGAAATACGGAGTCATCGGTGTATCGGTACGCTTCGAGCAGTACGAAGGAGTTGGAGGATACGAAAAAAGAAGGGTCAAGATACGAAAGGAATCGGAGAACGAGAACATATTCAGGGAGGATGATAAAGAGGACAAACAAACAATGAAAATGATACAAATGAAAATTAGAAACAAAGGACAGGAAAGAGAGAAGTGTTAGCGATGATAGAAAGATAGAAAAAAAATAGAAAAAAAAAGAGAGAGAGAGCAGAGAGAAAGAGAGAGAGAGAGAGAGAGAGAGAGAGAATGCATTACCGCAATGCTAGCCCGAGATTGTGCGGCCTTAATGTGGGCTTGAAGGTGCAGAGGGGGGTGGAAATAGCGGCAGGGGTCCCGATTGCATCGGCCCTTGACAGCGTCCATGCAGACCGTCACAGAGCCGTCCTCGTTCGCCTGCACCGTCTCGAGGGGGTGCGCAAACCGGCACTCCGTCTCGCCGCGTTTGCACGCCCCGCGTTGAAACTCGCGACATACCTACAGCAAGAGCGAACACGCATGGCATGGCACTCTATCTATGTGGCCAAAAGGGGCTGAGAGGGGCTGGGGGTTGGGGGCGCAAAACCGGGGGCAGCTCCAGGAACTATCGGGTGGTGGCGATAGACTTCTGTGTGTATCGTGTGCGCTTTTTGTTCGCGAGTGATATACATTATCGGACAAAAGTGTGGAATCACTGAACAGAATAATTAAGGGCAATAGAAGGATTTAAGAAACAGGCATGCTTCACCATGGGAATCTAACAATAAGTCGATAGAATTAAAAGAGTCTTCGATTCATTTTGACATTATTCATTATTAAAGCTCAGAACATCAGAAAGAGATATAGTATGAATGAAATAGAAAAAAGTAATTCCAAACTTCTGGTCGGTGGTGTATGTGTATTAAGATTCCTGCTGTTTTTTTTTTTTTTTTCATGAACATGGATATAACAAGGTTGGTTCTTGATTTTGTTGATTAGGAATTAGATTGGATCGTATCTGAGAAGGGCGAAGCGATATGATAAGCCAGAAATGTTTGTTAAAGTTCCCTTATGTTGTGTTGGCTTATGGAAATTATTCGCTGTTAAATGTAGGTGTTTAAGAGAAACAAATTTGAGTGAAAAGTGAAGTGGAGAAATGACTGGTATATTTGAATACTACCATTATTTAACAAAGAAGAAAATAAATACAATACTAATAAAAAGTAATCAGTAATAATTACAGGTAATGTCTCTATATAGTTAATTGATGTTAGATTAATGAAAAATATATATTTTCTTAAGCAATTCAAACGAACTTGAAGATGATGAAGGAAGAACAGGAAATTCAAAGGTGTCAATATCTGAGAGAATGAAAAGATCAGAGTAAATTACTAGTGTGATACATGTGTAGACTACGGACGTTTAAGCAAATTTATAATTTTACAAAAAATTTATTAACCAATTCAGAATATTCCAAACACAATTTATTTTAATCCATATGCGTGAACTACAAGTTTAGATGCATTCTAATAGTCCTCGGTACACGTATTTATATTTTGTATAAATTAATAAACATCCGCACTCTAATTCAATAAGTAAAAAACAGATAAAATAAAATGATGGAAAAAGCAAGATGAAGAGGATTGAATAATGCGAAAGAGCGCCCCATTTCTGGATTCGTACGGGTCTATTTTGGGAAGCCCACCTGATTTCCTTTTCATTTCTGTACTACTTCCCTTCTGACCGTTAATACCATAAAGATCGTAATTCATAATTATGTTCTTATCACAAATCTGATTAAACAGAAGTATTTTTTAAGCCACCGCAAGATATTTCATGAAAGCAATACGTCAAGCTTCATCTAAATTACACGAATATTTAGGTAAATTTTAATTCTGTATGATCGTATCAGAATACGAGACGTATCAACGCTCAGAAAAATGAGGAAAAGAAAAGAAGGGGCACATCTAATCACTACTCTCTACTGAAACTAGATACCGTGTTGAATACTGTCAAATAGGCGTCGCTTGCTGGTATTCGGTGTACCCTCGCCCCGCCCAATAAGGTCAAAGGATATGGAAAGAGTCGGACGGCTATATTATAGAATCTCGAGAGGGTGAACCAAACAGCATGGTACGTAGATCTGTAGGGATCGAACTGTTGGTAATGAGATATCAGGTTTTAGTAGTTGTGCAGTGTAGTATGACGGATGCCTCCACTGGCACCCACAAGTTTCTCAGCGTTCTTTTATTAAACATGGGTTAATTCGCACGTATGTTAGAGGATTCCTTGCGCATGCATCAACTACTGTCTCCGGCCGTTCGTATTTCCGTTGCAATGCACTCGGGTTGTAAGAAAAATGTATAGTCCGATGGGGCGTCGGTGATATTTCACGGCAATTTGTTCATGTCGTCCCGCACAGGCGGCAAGTTGACGGTGACATTTAACTAATAACCGAAAAAGAATAAAAATAACGGGATATATAATAGAACGGAAATTAAATAAAAAAAATTTGTCTGACCAGTTTTCATTGTCTCTAACTTTTTAAGTATGTCAACTTCACTAAGCAAGTTCCTGGATTTTATTATTTCTAAACAAGGAATCATTTCGAACAATAAGTTTATAAGACAATTTCGTATTTTTAAGTGAGACATGAATTAGGACACTACTTGTCCAGAAATATTGTACTTCGTAACAGAAGTATTTTAATTATTCCACGAACAGAATTCTCAGTAGTATTGATACACGATTGGTCAGACGAAAAACTACCCGTTATCAACACGTATTTCTTAATAGAATTAAAAAATGCAAAATCAAGAGGGGAATATGAGCAAAATAAGGCTGTCATGGTTTATTTTAAAAAAACGTTTGTTCCTTTCAACGTAATAATGAAAATATCCGCATCGTAATTATACATTTTTCACGGTGCATCGTGAGACTCGGCTAACAATCATGCAAGGCCAGTGTGCCGTTTCATTAAGCCGTAGGCGTGTCACGAAATTGCGGATCCAACGCAGATTAATTAATGTAGCAGAGAGAATCCGTGTTGCGCATCGCAGTGTATATCGGGCCGTGTGTGTCAGGAGGTGAGACGTAGCAAGCGTGTATGAGTGTAGAGGCATGCATTCGGAGGCACAGTGTCTGTTAAATTTCGGCCAATTTTCAATGGTGTTTCGTTCAGTTAAGTTCTTCAGCGTGTTTTACGAAACGCGCGCGACCCATCAGCGGGATGATGGCTCACGGTCAGCTGCCCGAAGAACGGAAGCGGAGGATACCGTTCGGCCGATGGTCGAGCTCGCGACAGGCCGAGGCCTGGGGAAGCTCGTTAAGGAACGCAGGCACTGAATGATACTTAACGAGACACACAAACACGTACACAGGCGATACACGAATCGTACACAAGGATCAAAGATATCAAACAATCTATACGTATATAGATATAGAATGTGTAAATACATACATGTAAAGTACGAGTGTAGATAGATAGAT